AGTCGAGTGGGGCTATGGGGCGCCCCGTGTCCGCGCGGGGTGGCCAGGCTGTGGCTGGGAGTGGAGCGCGGCGGCTTTTGCACCTCCTGTGGAAGCAGCCGTTCAAGCGAGGCGGACCGTGCGACTCGATTGTGGACTTGTGTAGCCGCTCCTGCGCGTGGCGGCCAGGTGGGTGGGTGCTCTGGCGGGGTGCAGCGACTCAGGAATTTAGGTGGGCGCAGAGGAGCGCGCGCCGAGCGAGACTGCGGGCCGAACGCGTTACGAAAGGAATGCCGGTGCTTTGCCCGGGTTTCTGCTGGGGCTCTCCCGTATGGGGAGCCCCGGGTACTCTTTAGCTGTACTCGTCTAGGCAGGGGTTGGTTCCGAACCCTGTGTTGAGAATACACATAAACACAGGTGTGTATTCTTTTTGCTTGGGGCGGACAGCATGCTGAAATTCTGGAAAAACCTGACCGGCCCCTGCGGTGCCCCTACCTACCTACCTACCTACCTACCTTACTTATGGGAAACTAAAGAAGAAATCACGGCGTGGGTGAAGGTGGGGTACTATACCAACTAAAGTGATGGTTGGTGGTACTATCCTGCAACCACAGTCCTTCCTGTGACATGGCAGGCCACTCTCAAGCCCTACAAGCACCAGATCAACGACTTGGGGAGGGTTGACATCGTGATTTGGGCGGAAAATTTCTTTTTATGCTGGGAAAATTCCGGCGTGAGAGAGGGAAAAACCCGACGGGAGGGCCCAGACCCTACCCTACCTACCCCGGCATGCTGTCCGCCCCAAGCAAAAAGAATTCACACCGGATAAACACATTTTCGGGCGTGCTCGCGTCCTCGGGTCTCGCGGTCCCTCAAGTGCAAACGACCCAGGTGGTTGCCGTGCAAGTTACCGGCGCGGCATCAACGGTGCGAGTTGCCGGCGTGGCACCGAGCGGGCTCTTTCCCTCACCGCTCCTCGCCTCGACGGCGGCAGAGCGGGAGGTGCAGGAGCAGTACACGGCGGAGGACAGGGAGGCTGCCAGGCTGAAGGGCGCCGCCTTTCTTGCTCTCGGCATCGCCCCTTCTTTGTACGCGCAGAGCAAGCTGGGTAAATCCAAGGACGGTTCGAAGTGACGAGCGTCCGACCAAACGAATTCGCATCTCGTACGCGCATGACGCATGAACTGTATATGCGGGTCAGCACGGGTCGGCACGGTTTATTACCCGGCACTGACCCGGCACTAACCCGCCATGCATGACCGCCCGGGCGTCGTGCCGTGCAGAGGGACGCTTGTGGCTTGTTCCAAGTGCAACTCCATTTCTCCTGCCTCCTGGCTCTAGATCTAGCAGTACTAAATAAATAAATAAAAACGGACACCTCTCTACTGTGAGATGGGTAAAAAGTAAAAGTAAGATCTAGCAGTACTTGAGTCTTCCCCCTCTCTGCAAACTTGATACTATACACCCCAATACTCTAAACAAATGAAGCGTGCGTTGTGGTAGGCCTGTATGTGTAAACCCTCCACACGCAGAAGTCTCTACTCCATTCTCTTAGCGAGAGAGCCCCCATCTTCCACTTCGTCTTCCTCACCTACAGCTACACCTCCCTCTGGTCTACGGCTTTTAGGAATGAGATCGCCGAACAACCGCCATTTTACTGGTGGTCCGTCCCAGTCAGCGCGCCTCTGCAGACTCGCCTCGTGGCTCTGCTAGCTGCGCGGCAGCCGTGCGCGTATGTGTGAAAAAAGACTGCGGGACACGGCTTTAAATACTCTCCAGGGAGCCGTGAGGTGCTCTGAGAGAAGAGAGCCGACCCCGCGGTCAGTCCACAATCCCGTACCACGGGTCGCTCGGGCGTCGTCTCGCGCGCGGTCGCGGGTCAGTCGGGCTTGGCGTGCGGTCGGCGAAACTCCATCGCTGAGTCGGCCAGCGCCCCGTGTCGGATGGAGAGCACGTCGGCGACGTAATTCATGCGGAGCCGCCACGGCCACGCCGCGCCCTGCTTGGGCAGCTCGTCGATGGACCGCTGGATGTAGCCGGCCCCAAAGTCGAGCAGGGCGTGCCGCTCCATCGCCGGGTCGGCTCGCGGCACCTCGTGTCGGGGGAGCCAGCTGGCTAAAATGAAGGCCTGGCAGCTTCTGTGTGGGGCGGGTGCGCTCTGGCGGGGCGGGGCGGGGCTGTCTCTTTGCGTGTGCCGGCTGTGCTGCAGCGCCTGGCCCGAGCTGGACCGAGCAGAGGGCTGTCTCTTCACTCGCTACGGACTCGAGCCGCTGTGCTGCACCTGGACTGTATACCCGCCCGCGTCCATGTAGTTGAGGATGCGGCAGACGTACT